GGTGGCCGAAGTTCCGCCGCCGGGGCACCTCACACCGACGCCCGCAACTTCCCCACAAGGTCACCGCTGCCGCCCCGAGGCGCTCTGCCGTCCCGAGGCCGGGCCTCGGTGGCCTTGTGGGAAATACGGGCCTGCTCGGAGCCATGGAGCGAGTATCAGCAAAACAGCAGAATTAGGTAAATGTTCAAGAGCGGCTCATTGTTAAAGTGTTTAAAGACCGGACTGTCAGCCGAAAATCTGGGTCTGAACGTGCGAATTGTGGCCGTCAGCGACTAGTCAATGTTAGGGCAGAACGGGGGAGGGGCAAGACTGGTACAAGACAACAGAAGGGCAACAGCGCCGTGTCAGATTCCTCGCATCAACTTTCACCATCTCGTGGAGTCACCAGGCGGCCCAACGCAGTACTGATGGGGGGGTCATAATAATCTGGCCGCTCAGTGTATATACACATGTTACATCAACAGTCCTTCAGCAAGGATGCTAACTGAATTCAGCTGATCTGATTGGCAGCATTGAGATGCCGCATGTTGCCCCATGAACTGCGTTTTCTGTGCCCTCCATTGTACAATACAGAGCACGTCTCATTAACGGAAATGGGCACACTGATTGGGTGGGGGGTCGGTTACCTCTGAAATAATACATGACTCCTTTATCATCCAGTGCCATGGCGCCAAATCCTTCATCCGTGCAGCGGTCGGCCATACCTGGAGGAGGGGGAGGGGACACAGAGAGCTGTCAATGAGGCTATAGGGTAACAATGTAACCACCATTCGTAATTGCCATCCTCAGGCTTCACCCCCATTCACAGAATAAAACCACACGTCTACACTCCCGGTGTAATGGGCGGGGCTCACCTGTGACGTTGTAGGCGGGGTCAGGATGAGAGAACAGGTTGGTTCCCGTGTCATTGTGCCGACCCTTCAGCCTGGAATGAAGCACAGAGATAGAATGATATTACGGTGGTGCCTTGATTGTACCTTTCCCACACACAGACAAGGATTCCACACATGGCATGACCTGATTGGACTATCTCTGTGCGATCCCCGTCCAATCTCTATACCATCCCCGTCCAATCTCTC